GATGCTATAACCATTTGTGGATTTACAAGAAAACACACATAAAAACATATACCAAAATGCAGAACACAGGGATCACTACAGTAATTCATACAAAACTATTAGTGACTCGTGGTTTAGGAGCCCAGCTGTCTCCATTCAATTAACCCTCCTCAGTTATAAATGCCTTATATAAGGTATATTGTTATTTCAGACAAGTTTTTTTTTTTTTAACGTAGTTATAGTTTTGCTATTTCATAAAGCATGCATTATATTAGTCGGCATCTGTGACTTGAGCATGCAAACAGTTTGTAAACATTGAAAAACCTGGTTCGATCCAAGCTGTGGACAATTTGGCAGCAGACAGTGCTGCATTGTATTCAACTCTAGTAAAGAGAGCTAAACATTCACAGAGCAATGTCAAACTAATGAGTGTAAAATCGTTTAGTAAAACTACAAACAGACAAGAAAATGCTGGATTGGTTCTGCAACGCCCTGTAAAGATAATCAACTAACTCATCGTTATAATTTATATTATCATGTCTTTTAGCTTTAGTAAAGACAATGTCTTTTTTATTTTGTCTTCGGCGGGTGACAACTGTGACCTGTTAATTTAGTTACCAAGCTTTCCCACCTATCTTCTGTCAGAGCTTCTTCTGCTTCTTATTCTTCGCATTCACCGGCTGTAAACTCTGACTGAAAGTTTTAGGTGTTAATCAACTTCTGGACTTAGCCTAGTTTCAGAACTTGAGTTCTGCATGCACATAATTTATATATTTGGTTTGTTTGTTAACATGCTGTTGGTTCCACTGCTAGGGCGATGCACTGCGACTTTTGAAGGAAATCATCCTAAATTAGTCAACGTTTATGACAAGCTTGTGAGGTGGGGTGTAGGTCTAGTCTCCTCACTCGCAATGTGGTCCGGAACCCAGTCACTAAAGCTTGTAAACAGGCTTGCGTAGTAAACTGAAATATAAAACAAATTAATGCGGAAATTAAACCACACAAAGAGTGCCCAAACCTGTTCATGCTAAGCCTAAGCTCCGTTGGCTGTTGAGTTTTCTAGACACAGTATACAGTATGTTTTAGCACTCAGTTTTGACAAAATATTGGTAGAAACATTCGGTTGTATATGTGTGCGTCTTGTCCATTCCCTATGTCAGACTTTCTAGTCACACTGTGTAGAATTTATTACTACTTAGTTAATAGTAGTAACAAGACAGTTTAGACGGCGAATGGCGACACTCATCGTCTGCTAGCTACAGTGCTACAGCTTCCACTTCTTGCTAGTCATTCTCGGCTTGGAAAGAAGGTATTCAAGCAAAATATTCGCTTTGAATGTTAATTAAATAAATTATTTCAATAAAATTGCCAGGCTCTTTTTAGCACATGTACAGTATACTTCAGCATAACAGATCAATATTATTAATATTCAATATTTTAAAATGAATTTTAAAAAAAAAAACATACCCAGATTACGCCAATAACTTTCACTTGTCCCGCCGGTGGTGTATTGCGAAATTGCCGCAAAGGAATATATCCGGGGTAAATAAATTGCTGCCAATTGCATGTCTAAAGATTGGAACAATTACATAGGTATCTCCCGTTTAAGCCACGTAGGTAAAATGTTTGCTAAGATTCTGAAACAACAAATTAGATTTGTTGTAGAACCAATTCTGAGCCAAGCACAGGTCGGATTCAGGAAAGGAAGGGGTTTTGTACTGACGCTATTTTTGCCCCAAGTCAAATTAGCGAAAAGTAAAAACGTAAAGTAAAGGACCCTTTTCCACGCCCTTATGCGTATATGGCATATAGGGCTAAACCTATATTTTTTATAGACCAATCGGCACAAGATGGGTGATGTGGTCAGCATCACACCGGCCGCCTTTGCTTTCCCGGGACTGCACCCGGTACCCACTCAAGGCTGTGTCGACCTGAGAGGTCATTTTTGAAAAAAAGTCCGGCTCCGCCAGGGAGCTATCCCACGACCTTCCGATCCGCGACGAGCGTCTAGCCGCTCGGCCACGGCGACTAAATTAGCAAAAATACAATAAAACAAAGACACCAAATGAACATCGCTTTTATATATCAAGAAAAGGCTTTTGACAGAGTGAACAGAGATTTGCTATCGGCTGTCCTTGAAAACTATAGTATAAACGGAACAGTACTAGATTGTGTAAGAGATTTTTTATTGAAAAGATGAAAGCGCCGTCAGAACAAGAGCTGGCCTTACAGATTGGTTTCCAGTAACATCAGAAGTAGGGTATAATACCATCAGATGTCGATAACAGGGGAGCTTCATTCAACGAGCAGCTCTTTGCTGACGATCAGTTCATATTCCACAGTGAAAGTAAACAACTGCAGGATCACATAAACCAACTGCACGACAGTTGCCTTAAACATCACATGAAGATCAATTTCCAAGACCCTTGAAATGACTCCAACTAGAATGATCAGTGATACCAGCCTTTCTTAATTACCGGTATATTGTCCCGCCAGAGTTAGTAGTGTCTTGAAATAACGCTAGTAGTAGGATTTTAACCCCCTCGAAAATACCCTCTTCAACCGTCAGGGTTATAATTGGGATATATATATATATATATATATATATATATATATATATATATATATATATTTAGTGTTAATTGCGTTCTCTGAGTATATATTTGTTAATTTTAATTTATATATCATTTAATTATTTATATGACCAACATGTTTCACATTTAGCTTTGATTTGTGTCGTGATTATGATACAAATTGTATAATAAATAATTAGAAAATCTCACTAACATTGTGTCATTACCATGGTAGATATGTTTCCTTTGAGTGCAATCATTATGATTATTCTCCTCGATTTTATTTTGAAAATAAAAGTCAGCAAACCAGGCTAAAAACAGCAGTGGTTTACGTGCGAAAGACTGGGGTAATATTAGAAAACAAATGTTGGAATTTGCTCGCACGGGAGCCCCAATATGAGATTTGAAATCCCTTAAAGCGCCCATTCCCGCACCCATTCCATTTTTTTTTTCTAAAGGAAAGCCTTAGCAATAATACGAAATTTAAAAACTCTAAAAGATCATTTATATAGCCTACATGGCTTACACGTATGAGTTCCAGGACCCTAATTTGAGGGTGGGGTGGAACAAGAATGCTAACTGCATCCCTAACAAGCATGGCGTAAGAGTCGACAAATTAGGGGTTTATTTCCAAGTCGGAGTGCATCGGCATGCGAGGCAAGGAACCAGCAGTCTGCATACAAATGAGCCAGCTCTGTAAAGCTGAATAAGACTAAAGCCCAAAAAGAGGACGAACAACGATAACTTTCTGTTTACAGTCGGTGAACGCAAAGAAAAAGAAGCTTAAGGAGGCATCTCGGCTCCCTCACAAAATAATTGGACCTTAGCCCCCCCCCCCAGTTAATTGCCTAGACAAGTAAGGTGGTGAGGAAACATGGTTGCGTGTTTCCCTATGTTTTCTATTTTCGGGGTGGGGCTGAAGAGGTCTTGGCCCTCATCCAATTGTTGCCCAAGTGGCGAGGAAGGCGTGGTTAGGGGGTGGGATGGGGCTGAGGCCTCGCATAAAGATTCTCTAACTACAGAGATGGGGGAGGGGGGGGGGGGCTAACAATGCGATACGGTTGGGGGGGGGGAGGTTACGGGTGGTAATGCCGGTGCATCTTCCTTTCGCTACTTACCTCCTATAGCCTCCATGAGTACCATACAATCCATGTAGGTTTATCTCTCGTGTTATTTACGTTTTAATAACGCTCTTATAAATATTATATTGCTCGTGGATGCTTGTGTATTTATCAGTGTTTTCATTATATCAAGTAATCAACGGCGTTGCACAAAAATTGATATGCCATTTTGTGCAAATTTTTATGTTTATTGTTTTGTCTTAGAATTTAGTTCTGAAAAAAAAAAACCATCAGATTTATCCAAAGCTATTCCTAGAGAAGGCAGTGTATTTTTTCTAATACAAAAGAAAAGAAACATACATAGATATTCCACTAATTACTAGACATTTAAAAAGAACTGAAACTCCAGGTGAATGTGAGCAGTAGATGCAGCGATACCTGGCAGGAGTGTGTACCAACATGAACGGCCGACTGCGGCAGTAGGCGAGATGGCCACCTACTTGGGGATGTCTGTCGCTGGATTAGTTGACCGTCCTGTGGCTGTCAGTCACGGCCAGATCGCTTCTTGAAACCAACTGGTGCTCGGCTCTAACGTCAACTATTGCACGATCTATTTATTGGTGGTACCTGAACAAACACGATATTGTGCAAGTGATCACTTTAAGACCAACCGTTCTTCACCTTGTAACTTCTGACCGAGTGAGAGTGACTAAAACTGAACAAAATATGTAAAAAAAATTCTTCAACTTAGTGATTTCGTAGTTCCTTGGTAGTTTTACTAGTAGTTCCTAGTAATCCTTTTGATTGCAAATCACCTTCAAGAAAGAAATCACAGTTATATCTGCAACTATTACTACTAAGACGTGATAGAACAATAAATAATACTGTTTCAGTGAATGATAATATTAATATTGATAGTCAACATTTGTACATTTGTAAATTATAATGTTATTAAATAGAAAATTCAGACTAAGTCACCCATGTTGAAGTCGTTCCTCAGAGTTGATCAAGCATAAAGTGACTGTTTAAAGTGACATATACTGAAAAGGCCAAGAAAACATTTTGTATTGAGCTTTTTCATACCCAGATTCTGCAAAACTTCAAAAAACGAAAAAAAAAAAAAAAATGTCCAGATTTGCTTGCCAGTAATATATTTAAAAGAAACGTGCTAACAACACATCAAGTTTAAGAGATCAGCCGTGGGTGTGCCATATACTTTCTTATCAGTTTGATTAGTACAGTAGATCCTTTTATATTACTATCAGCTGTAAAAGCTAAGATATAGTAACATGGTGTACATCTAGAAATATGATAACAATATATTTGGCAGAAACCTAAAGTTCTTGAAGTCTGACAATATTATTTGCGCCCAATAAGCTACTTTTGAATGATGTCAAGTTCAAACAACCCTGCTGGAAGCAGTAACTTCGGAGATGAAACGATGGCTAAAATTAAATCACCTCTTAGCCCAGATTTAATGAATTCCATGGAATCATCATTAGGATGTCCCCAGCTAAATGAGGATGAATGCGTGACTCTTCTAGATCTTCCTTGGGAGCAAGTGCTGGTCAAACATATGCTTGTTTACCTGAGCATTGCTGATTTGTTTCGATTCAGGGCAGCTAGTTGTGGCTGCAGAGACCTTGTTCATACCCACTTCCGTCTTCAATTTCACATAAACACTAGTAGTTTAGGGGATCATTTTACACCACAGGCATTTAGAATCATGACACAGGACTGTACAAGTCTCAAGTCCATATCTGTTCGAGGAGCCAAGTCTTGGCTGACAAGCAGTGCAATGCTGGATGTTATTTCTGCAAATCCTCGCATTGAAAAAATTGACCTCACTGGATGTTTAACTCTTTCTGGGGCAACCTTGTATTCAATTGGCGTCAACTGTTGCTATATCAAGCATCTTTGTTTAAAAGACTGCGTGTGGTTGAGTGTTGACAATTTTTTATCCTTCCTGTGTAATCATCATGACCTAGAATACCTCGATCTGTCTGGGTGCTGGAATCTGGATGATGACCTTGTGATCCAGCTTGTTCAAGTGTCACCAAGGTTGGTTCCTGTTGCACATTTTCTTTGTTGTATAAATGGTCATGGCATTATGGGCATTAAGGTCTGCTGAATTCTTTTTTTAAGTAGTATAGGCGCAAAAGTTAGCGGCTGTTGGAATGGTTAGGAATGCAAGACTCTCATGTGGAAGACCCGGGTTTGAATCCTTGGTAAGGTTGTGAATTTTTTCTATTGGCTGCACAAATAGAATCTTAACCTGTACAGTCCATAGCAACAGTACCACCCATGCGGCCCTAAATCTCCAGGCTCAAAGACCCTACCCACTACACCACAAAAATGGTAACTACAGGCAGTAATGGCAGGTTGACCATTTTTTTCAATAGACACAGAATGTCAGTTTTCCCAAACTACTATCTCTTGGGGATAACAGACAGTGTTGTCTTATGAACAGATAAAGTGAAGATGGTCCTGTAGTAGATGCTGGAGCTGGGATATTAAAGGTTAGCTTTCATGCATTTTAGACCATAAAAATTTAGGGAAGGTGGTCCCCGTTTATTTCCTCGCTGCCTTTTCTAAGAAGTTCTGAAAAATGATAGATGCTTATTTGCTTGGTTATAAGGGTGGGTTGATGTAAAAAGCTCATAGTAAAGTAATGGATCCTTTTCTAAAATTGGGCATATAAGGCTAGACCTTGTTGTCTTATAGATCTATTGCCAGTCAGTGGCTAATGTGGTCAGCATCTTGCAGGCCACCTTTACTTCCAATGACTTTACTTGGTACCAATTTAAATCAGGGTCGACCTGGGAACCTACGTATTTTTGACAAATGTCTGAAGAAATGTACAGGTCAGGAACAAATGGCATGTATTACTACTTTATGTAGTGAGTTGTATCCACAAAATGTGAATGGAAACAATACAAGAATCATTAAAAAAAAATATTTGGATATATAAAGTAACATGTTTTGCTGAAACCTTTCTAGAGGGGATGGTCAAGGCAAGTGTGCAAAGAGGTGACAGTATAAAAACTTCTTTATGCAGCAGCAACATGAGACAGTGGTATAAACTCCACTGTACAGCACAAACAAACAGGAGATTATGGTGTAAACTCTTCTGTACAACACACACAAACAGATTATGGTGTAAGCTCCACTGTATAGCACACACAAACAGGAAATATGGTGTAAACTCCACTGTATAGCACACACAAACAGGAGATATGGTGTAAACTCCACTGCATAGCAAATACAAATAGAAGACATTAGTATAAACCCTGCTGTACAACAGGACAATGGTATAAACTCCACTGTACAACAGTAGACAGTGGTATATAGACTCCACTGTACAACAGGAAACTGGTATAGACTCCGCTGTACAACAGTAGACAGTGGTATAGACTCCACTGTACAACAGGAAACTGGTATAGACTCCGCTGTACAACAGTAGACAGTGGTATAGACTCCACTGTACAACAGGAAACTGGTATAGACTCCACTTTATAACAGGAAACTGGTATAGACTCCACTGTACAACAGTAGACGGTGGTATAGACTCCACTGTACAACAGTAGACAGTGGTATAGACTCCACTGTACAACAGGAAACTGGTATAGACTCCACTGTACAACAGGAAACTGGCATAAACTCCACTGTACAACACTAGACGATGGTATAGACTCCACTGTACAACAGGAAACTGGTATAAACTCCACTGTACAACAGGAAACTGGCATAAACTCCACTGTACAACAGTAGACAGTGGTATAGACTCCACTGTACAACAGGAAACTGGTATAGACTCCACTTTACAACTGTAAACAGTGGTATAGACTCCACTGTATAACAGGAAACTGGTATAGACTCCACTTTACAACTGTAAACAGTGGTATAGACTCCTGTACAGCAGTAGATAATGGTATAGACTCCTGTACAGCAGTAAGATAACGGTATAGATTATTGTACAACAGTAGATAATGGTATAGACTCCTGTACAGCAGTAGATAATGGTATAGACTCCTGTACAGCAGTAGATAATGGTATAGACTCCTGTACAGCAGTAGATAATGGTATAGACTCCTGTACAGCAGTAGATAATGGTACAGACTCCTGTACAGCAGTAAGATAATGGTATAGATTATTGTACAACAGTAGATAATTGTATAGATTCCACTGTACAACAGTACAAAATGATATAGACGCCACTGTACAACAGTAGGCAGTGGTATAGATTTCACTGTACAACAGTACACAATAGTATATACTCCACTGTGTAACAGTAGACAGTTGTGTAGACTCCACTATACAACAGTAGACAATTGTGTAGACTCCACTGTACAACAGTAGACAGTGAAATAGTCTCCACTGTACAGCAGTAGAAAATGGTATAAACCTCATTCACTGTACAAAAAGAAAGTAGTATAAACTCCACTGTATACAGACCCAAACAGGAGACATTTGATCACCCAAAGAAGGTAATTAGGAGGAAAAATGAAAGAAGATGATGCTAGACTGCACGGTCAACTCAACAGACAGAAAATACTGATGAAGTGTTGTATTAACCTAAAATATGAAATAGGCAACTCATCTCCTGTTTGTATTATAAAACACCTACTATCCTTTTACGTAGTTAAGAGTCAAGGAAAGGTATAGGACACTTCTCCACGCCCTCAGCCATATGGGGCTAGACCTATATTTTATAGATCATCGGCAGTCAATGGGTGATGTCAACACAACACCAGCTGCCTTTATTTCCCAGGTATTTACCTAGTGCACATTTAAGGCTGGGTGTACCTGAGAGCCAAGGTCAATATAAAACAAGTCTAGCTCCATCAGGACCTGAACCCAAGACTTTCAAATCCACAGGTCAGCTTTTAGCCTCTAGACCATAGTGGCTCCTTTTGATGTAGTTAATGAAAGCAACAATTGATTGTCACTATTTTTTGTGTTTTTTTTTTAAAATCAGCATAAGGCATTTGCTTCTGGCCAACCTGTATGGGTTAACTGACAGAGCAGTTGTAGCTGTGGCTCACTGCTGCCCCAATTTGGTACATCTGAGCATCAGAGGATGTTGGAGGGTGACTGACAGCTCTATCAAGTAAGTATCATTCATTCATTCATTCATTCATTCATTCATTCATTCATTCATTCATTCATTCATTCATTATCCTGTTGTATGTCACATAGCGCTCACAGTCTATATCTCCATTTCATTCTATCATGTGCAGTCAACATCATGAATCCAATCCAGCACCTTTGGCTTCTCTCATCAACACTTTCCTTAGAGTTTCTCTTGTACTTCCTCGTGTTCTTTGTCCCTTTATTTCCCACTTCAGTGCTTGTTTGGTGATTCTCTGTTTTCCTCTTCTCAGAATGTGTCCAATATGGTACCATCTTCTCTGTTTTATAACTGTTGATATTAGCGGGTGCCCAAACATTTCTCTTGTTTCTCCATTCCTTTTGAATTCATTCCATTTTATGTTCATTTTCCTCAGACATTTGTTTGCAAATGAATTAAACTTTGGTTCTATATTTGTATTGGTTCTCCAACTTTCACTGGCATATGTTAAAACTGAAAAGTTGAATCGAAAATACGTAACTTGGTTCTAAAACTAACTATTGTCAGCAGAAATTTCGGCATAAATATCAACAGAATATTAATTTAAAATGTGTTTAGCAAGGATCCTATGTGAGCATAGACTTGTGCATTGAGCCCAGATGTTTCCTGTATGATACATATGAGGAGACTGAGCACTAGAAGTATCTGTAGACAGTAAAGGTGGTGTTTAGGAAAGCAAACCTGGTCCTCCATTTTGGGTGCTGGAGCATGGGGCCGATTCCCCCCCCCCCCCCCCATCTTCATCAGTTAAATTGAGCCACAACTGGAGGCGTACAGTGCCTAAAACAACCCTGCAAAGGGTGTCTTGCTAACTGTGTCTTGTAACCAACTCCAAACACCTATATTTTTCTCCGTTGCTATATACTGTGTCCATGTAAACCTAGAAATCCTTGGGAGAAGTGCAGGTAACTATGTTTTCAACCTGAATTCCAGCATCAGTTGAGATCCCATAAATGATGTGCGTCTGGACAATCTGATACTTAATTGTACTGTTTTTTTTTGCAATCAACCAAAGAATAGAAACAATCAAATTACAGTATGTGTCAGACTTGGCAGGAGACATTCTGTCTGTAGGGAATATTTTCCAGTCTGTCTGTCAACAGATTGAATCTGTTGCCTCATAATTATTAAATTCCACTGAAAGTCATTTACTCCTAGGTCGATACAGCCCTTTCTCAGTCAGACAGGCACACAATTAACACAGAGAACTTGCTGGGGAAATTTAATTCTCGCTGCAGACAATTGGCAGTTACCATTTGGCTATTTCGTTTGCTTATTTCATATCTGCTTTTTGATGCCACAGAGTTCTTGCACTGCGCTGAGGTTCTTCTGACTTAGGCTTGAGTTAGAAGTAAAGCAGATCTCTTATGGGTTACTACCCTTGAGCCATGATGTTGATCATTGTTTAGACCATAAACCATTTAAACTGCCACCTAATTATACACACATTGAAAGGGATACATTGTGTCTAGTACTGCCACTTGTGTATCCTGCACTTGACACACTACAGGGCATACACTGTGTCTAGTACTGTGTTGGTTGGCATTTTGTAATTCCCTCCATCATGTCTAGTTAGTTGACAGTTTGGGAGTCCACATCTGGTGTGTCATGTTTGTTGACATTTTGGTAGTTCCCATCTAATATATACTCTTTGTTCACATTTTGGTAGTTTCCATCATTATGTCGTGTTGAATGATAGTGTTCTTAGATGTTGTTTAGTTCATTTATTTGTGTTACTTTAGATTTTGTCAGGTAGTCAAGCCAGAACATGCACTGGCAGCCCAACACAACCGTTGTTTCATTTCTTCTTTTAAATAAACATTTCATCAAGTCAGTTCACAGCTTAATGTGGATTCCATTAATGCAACATTGACATTTGACTTCACACAGGCTGCTATCTCAGTACTGTCCAAATCTGAAAGCAATACAAGTCCAGGAATGTAGAGACATCACAGAGGACAGCCTAGGCTACCTGCGAATGAAGAGAGTGATGGTAGACAAAGCTCCACCCCCAGGAAACCATCTGTACAGACTGGAGCAGCAGATGAGCAACCTGCGCAGGCTAAACTTGGTACTATAGATTGTTTGCTTGTGAAGTTGAGCAGTTATCCTTGTTGTTTTATTACACCTTGTTCTTTCAAGCCCCTGTCAACTATTACCACCGCATCATCTCCCTGAAGGGTGATTATGAATTTTCCGGTGAATTTGTTCATGTCATGTTTATTTGTTGACATAGTATTCAAATATGTTATGTTGATTTTGACCAAATACTCCATGATAGGATAGTGACTGGCTGCTATTAATCTCTGGGGTCCAGTTTTGTGGAGATCTCTCCTTTCTTTTGCTTCAACAAATGGTGTGTCTATGCGTGCTTGCACGTTTGTGGTTTATACCAAAGCACTATCAGATTTCACAGTACCTACAGTACCTCAACTCTAGAGAGAGAGTAATAGATTAAACATTTGGTTATTAGTTTTATTTACAAGTTTATCTGCAGTTGGGATTTATTTTTTATATCCGTTCTGAATGTTAATTTAAATACTTTTTCTACCATTTATGTCTCCAACAAAAAGAGATCTTCAACTAGCTGACACCATGCCTTCCTATCTTTTGCCATCTCCTGCATCTCCATTGATAACATTCCCTTGTTGTTCATCTGTGAATGTATGCCCATCTATTTCTTTGCCATGTAGATTCAAGTGAAAGGACTTTTTAGTTATGCTATTAACCAGGGCTGTACCGAATAGTGATTTTCACTATTCGGCCGAATACGAATAGTGCGACCAACTATTCAGCCGAATACGAATAGTGTATTATCATCATCAGGTGCCTTGCCGACTGGTGTTGGCGATTTTGCCTCGCCACAATCTGCAATCTCCTGCAGCATGTATCAGTTCGTGTGCTGACACACCTTCATGACATGCAACAAGACTGTCAAGAATCTTCTCTCGTTGTCTTTTTCTATCTCTCCTTCCATAAATATTTCCAGTGGTCACCACATGTTCCATTTTCACTCTTCTTAAACGATGGCCGAAAAATGATGACTGTCTCCTTCTGATGTCTGTGATTAGTTGTCTTCGGGCTCCCGCCTCTTTCAAAACCTAGTGGTTGCTTTTTTTAGGCTGTCCAGGGTATTTTAAGCATTGTTCTGTAAAACCACATCTCTGAGGCCTCAAAAAATTGTTTGGCCTGGCTACCGATTGTCCAGGACTCATAGCCATATGTTAAAACTGGATGTATGTAGCAAGCAAGACAAAGATATATTGCGTAAGATGTTCTTTTTTTTTTTTTTTTTATAAAATGCAGTTTTTGCCTGTTCCATTTTTTTTTTTACTTTAGTAATGCATCTTTCATCTGATTTTATCCATGTGCCAAATTCGCATTTAAATTATCGTTCGTTCAGGCCTTCGTTCGATGTAATTTAAATGCACCTTCATATTCTCGTTCGCAATATCTTCAATTTGATTTGGGCAAAGACACCCCGAAAGAACGAAAAAATGCATGCTCTCTCTCTTCCTCTCTCTCTCTCTCTCTCTCTCTCTCTCTCTCTCTCTCTCTCTCTCTCTCTCTCTCTCTCTCTCTCACACACACACACATATACACTTTCAAGTTTCTTCATGCCTTCTTTAACACAACAGTAGCTTTGCCTAAATCTGTCATAGCTGGGAAAACTGCGACCCGGTTGCGTGTTAACAGCGCCTGCTGACTCCTCCGAGGCATTACAGCAGAGGTTCTACAGCAGAGGGGTGCCGCGACAAAAATCAAGAAAAGTCGGCTATAAATTGTGACATTATTAATGAGAGAGTTATTTCAGTCTATCACAGTGTATGAAGAAATCACTATTCGTATTCGGCCCGACCGCCACTATTCGGCCGAATACCGAATAGCTATTAGGTCCACTATTCGGCCCCGAAGCAAATACTCGGTACAGCCCTACTATTAACACCTTTCAGCTTTGTGTTCTATCTAGCGCTGATGTGCATTTTTTTGCTAAAAAATTTTTTTTTCAGTGTAGAAATATTCCTTGTGTAAGTTTGACCTCTGTGGAATCTTATGTGTGGATGTTGCCTACTAATAGTATCCTTGTGAAAGCTGCATTACAAGATGTGAATAATTTGAATATTTGGAAAGATGTAATCATCATTTTAGTATTTTAAAGATACAGTCATAGAAGTTTCTTGTGTTCCTTTGTTAACTGTACTCCAGTCAAGTGCACAAGAGCAGGTTGAAGGAAGTTCACTCTCATTGTGAGATAGAAGTTCGATAGATTTATGTAATTCGGCTTTTACATGATACTTATCATGAGCTGACACTTTCAGGTTGTTCAGTTGCTGACTGTACAAAATATTTGTGGACAACCTCTATGCTTGTTAACTGGTGCATGTGTGCTCACTTTTGGACGTAAGAGAAACTATTTCCCCATCCTTGTGAAGCAGTTTATGGACATCTGTCTTGTGTTACCTGGTGTTTATGTGGTCACTTTTAGTCGGTAGAGAAATCATCTCTCCTTCTTCTGAAGCAGTTTGGTTTTATGTAGGCCTCATAGTGTTTTGAAGCCACTGAGCACTTGGTGGGCTTATCCGGTCATAACTGTCTTAGCTGCATTTACTTCCAACAATTTTCATGAGTGCCTGTTTTAGGCTGGGAGTCCAGGTCATAAACAAAACTCTTGTATTGATAGGGATTAAACCACATAACATCTGGGCTGACAGGCAAGTTTTTTGAGACACTGCACCATTACAATAATTGTTTACTTCTGGATGAAGTGTTATATTTATGATGTTTTTGTTTCAGTTAGATTGTATTGTATTTTATGTTAACTCCCTGTGTTGGTTCTGGGGCCCTGTTATAAGAAAAACAAGAATAGTCCCACTGCCTACCCAAAAGCATGTCGCAAGAGTGGACTCATTGGGAGCTTCCTTCAAAGTCGGAGTGCATCTGCCTGAGAGGCAAGGAGCCAACAGTCTGCATTCAAATTAGTCAGATCGATCAAACGCATACACACGCAACACTCAAATTCTGGAACAAGACTGCACTCCAGAAGTGGACCAACAACCAGAGTTTACAGCTGGTGAACGGAAAGAAGAAGAAGAAGTTAACTGACAGTGTGATCAAAACAGACATACAATTGTATGTGATGTTCTTTGATATGATTTTACATACACATAAATACATACAATTTCAATAATTTGTAAGCAGAAACCAAGCACTTTGGAAACTTGTTTTAGAAATAAAGGGAACAATAGTTTATCACTTCAGCAAAGGATTTTTATCTGGTGGTACGCAATAGGTGTTACCAACACCTATTTTTAGACATCGTTGTTTCATCACTACTGTAATAGACACTTTGTGGTGCGTACCGGCACCTTTTGTGTTCCTGGTTTCACAGATCTTGCCTAAATACAACATTGAGAGAGCTGTTTATTCACCCCGTACTCGGTGCTTGACCCTTTTTTGTCTCAAGGAGAGCATTATGTGTAATCCGCTGTACACCAGACAACTGTATTGTTATTCACTCATGTTTGATATGGTCAGGGTGTCTGAGCATGTCTCTACTTGTGTAGTTTTAATCAAGTTAGGTCATCATGAGTGCAGGGACTGGCCAGCTGGTGCTGCAGAATCAGAAGTTTAACAAATTATTCATGATAACCCCCCCCCCCCCCCCCCCCCCCCCCCCCCAATGATGTAATTATCTATACAGATGGCTGTGTGTTGAGAGCAAAAATGAATGGATATCGCTTAGTGCAACAAAGCCTTACATATGATATCACAACATCTAGTTTGAGAATGGAGGTGGTGGCAGTCACTGCTGCCTTCCGCTGGCTTGAGAATCAGCTGTACACACATGTCGTCATTGTGACTGACTCACAGAGCATGTTGAGAAAGGTAGAGACAGGCATGCTTCGTGCAGTGCAGCAAGCATCACTTCAGAGATCCCGGGTAGTTAGTGTCCTTTGGGTATTTTTTCTAGGTAACACTGGTGTGTTAGGGAATGAGCAGGCAGAGAGACTGGCTGGCTCTGCACTACTTGGTGGTGAATTGATGTATGACCAACTAGATTTTGGGAGTGAGGGAACAGTGCAGAAGCACAGATAGATCATTACGGTCTGAGGAGAATGGCGCTGTGAGGAGTTACCAGGGTATCTGGCAGACGTTCAAACACTCAGATGAAGAATGAGACGGATATACAATCAGACAGTTACTGGTGCCATCAGAATTGGAACTCTTCGCTTGCTGCTGAAAATGGGGACAGAGCACTTATGGGAGTGTCCTGAGTGCTGTGATTCTTAATTTAACATTTATTGTTGATATTAGTAATCTGAAGAAATCATTATTATCAGCTTCGATTGATGTCTGTATACACACTTTCTCATAAATGTGCACTGTCTTTTGTGTACTTACACGAATGGGAACTGTAGTCAGTAAACTGCAGGATCCTTGTCATCTCAGTGGCATGATGGGCATACAATGCTAGACCAGTATTTTTAAAAACCAATTGGCACTTGATTGGTGAATGTGGTTACAGTCAGTGTCATGCTAGTCATCTTCACTTTCCAAGTCATTTCACGGCACTCATTCTAGACTGGGTCGACCTGGGAGCCAACGTCAGTCATATTCAGCCCACGTTGATGTGAATTTAAACTTGTGATTTTTGGATCAACAGGCAAGCATCAAGAATCCAACAAGCCAGTAATGTCACGTACCAACTTGCTCCAGTTTTAATACACCCTGCTATCTCAATAGAGACAAAAAGACAAATTATAAATACAGTGTTTATACCGAGTTTAGATTACCAGTGTCAGATTTGGACATGGTTAGAAAAACACGAGAGAAAACTTACTACCTGTGAGATGAGATGTTTGAGAATGGCTGTGAATAAACCAGAAGAGATTGAATGAGAAACTGTGTGATCACAAGAACTGTTGAACAACACATATCATCAGATTTATTGAGAAACACAGAATGAAATGGTTTGGCTGTTTAATGAGAATGAAACCAACAATGCCTGCATCAAGATAACAACCTGAAAATCGAAACACCAAGAGGCAGGGGAAGATAGAGAAGAAAATG